GAAGCAGGACAGAGAGCACAAAGCAGCACTTCCCTTTATGCTACACGGAGATAAAGCAGCACTTTTAAACTCAGCCAGGAAGAAACTTTGGCTCCAGAACGAAATCTCTGCTCCTACTCCTCCCTCCCCCCACACGCCGATGCGGAAAGGCATCATGTTAATGAGATACAACGAGGAGATGGAATTTCATTCTCTCCCCCAGCCACAGCTGGGACTTGCCTTGATGGCTGGTCCCGCGCACTCAGAGCTACCGGCTTTATTCATAAGCCATCCCAAACACGTTCTGCCGAGGCACTGATCCTTTCCAAACACAGGCCCACCCTCAACCACAAGGTCCCCTGCTCCTCCATGGCGCTCTTGTCCTGATCACGCACACAGGCCAATGCTGGAGGATTTGGAGAACAAATCCATTGCATGATCGTTGGACTAAACTTACAGGGCAGCGTCATCAGTCAAGGGGTCAGACCCCTTGGCTGGTGTAGATCAGTTTCATGCCAGTGCCGCCAGCTGAGCCGTGTCTACACGAGCAGCGCTGCACTGGAGTACCACTCTGGCAAAGTATTCTTAGTGTGGACACAGCTGGACCACATCTTTAGCACTGTAACAATCTAGCCAAACATCCCCTCCCTTGAGCGGAAAGTTACCCTGGACGGAGGAGCAGCTTGGCCAGAATTACCTCGTCCTACACTGGATGCTTGTGCCGGCACAGACCTGTGCCTCAGGGATCGCCCGCCATTCCTTGACAGACACAGTTGTGCGGCCAGATGGCTGCAGTGCAGGCAAAGGATGTTGCTCAGGCAAACTCCAGCAGACAACCTCACTGGTAGAGCAAAGATCGTCCCATCCCACTGACTTTCTGCACCTTGCCCCTTTCCCGCAGGGAAGATCAATAGAAAACTAACTGAGCAGATGCAGGGAACCTCCCCCAACGATTCCCAATTAGGAGTGATTCTGGCATGAAGAACAGCGCTGGGTCTCCAATAGGCAGAGAGCACGTGACATTCGATTGCCCAGGCAAGGCAATGAACTGGATGAGTTAGTACATCAAACCTTCCTAGAGCAGGGACTCTCAAATGCCCCTGCACCGCAACCCCCTTCTGACCACAAACAGTCCTCCACAGTCCCCAGGGAAGGGACCAAAACCTAAGCCTGCCCTGGGGAAGAAAGGGGGGCAAAACCTGAGCCCCACTGCTCCAGGCAGGGGGCCCAAAGCTGATCCCTAAGCCAGCCCTGGTGACCCCATTCAAAGGGGGGGTGGTCGCGACCCACTTTGGGGTTCCAACCCACAGTTAAGAGAACCGTGGTCCTACAGCCACAGCAGGACTGGGTTGGCTACTCCATACGCAAGATGGGAATGTTACCGCGCTTATCCATTACGTGCCCTAAAATCTCTCCCCATCCTGTCGCAGCGAACACCACGGATTTCTTGCACAAGCAACACACTTTTCTACAGGATGCACGGGACTGGAAGAGCCCCCCCAAGGTGGCACAATCCTGCATCCAGCTATAGGTGGGCACACAAAAATGTCTTCTCTGCCACTAACACCCATCTTTTGGTTCCCCGCTCCCCCATGCCGCCACCTTCCCGCCAGCAGCATCGTGCCCTGGCTAGGAGGGTTTTGCTCTCTCCAGAGTGAAACCTGTTTTCCCTGAGCCAGAAGCGGATTGCGATGCAGTGGGATGGTGAGGAGACCGCAATGGAGGGGGAGTGGGGGTTGAGATAGAGACTAGAGAAGCCAGGGGTGGGGAGGAACGAGGGAGAAGCATAGGAATGGGAGGAAAGAGTAAAGGGGCAGACGGTGGAGATGGTGAAGCTCAATATGAGGAGAGACACAGGGGAGCTGGAGTTGGGAGGAGAAGGGGACGAATGAAGCAGACACACGGAGTGAGAGGGGGAAGTAGAACAGCAAGATGGACAAGGGGAGGAGATAAGAGCAGGTGGGTCTCAGAGGAGGAGCATGTGCTGGTGCGGGTGGAGGGAGGAAGGGACTGGGTTGGAGAACAAGCAGCGCGCCAATGCAGGGCTACTCACTGGGGCAGATGAGCGCCTCCTTGGCCGTGATGCTCTTGTTGCAGGCGAAGCACATGGTCATGCCGGAGACGGTGATGGTGGTGAAGAGGTGCCCATTGGTGTAGCGGGCGTCCTTCTCCTTCCCGTCCTTCTCCCGTTCCTTCATCTTCTCTTTGTTCTGTTTGCCGACAGAGAGGGAGGGGGATTAAAGATACAGCTTCCCAGCAGGGATCCCCGCCCGCTCCACCCGGACCAGCCTACAAACATCTCACCCAGGACGCCCTCTGTACAGGGCGCGCCTTCCCGACAGCCCCTCTCTCCGACACTCGCTTCGCGTTCCAGCTCATAGCTCTGCCCGAGGGGAGCCAGGTCGTAAACCTGGCCCGTGCACCAGCAAGATCAGCTGATGCAGCAAACAGATGTGCCTCTTGAGAGCCAAGTGGACGTCTGTGGAGCCCCCCTGGGGGAGGGGCAATATTGGGTGTCCAAACCCCAGCTGGTGTCACGCCCAGCAGGATGGTGGGCACAGGGGAGCTGGAAAAGCCACCAGCTAGATCTACTGGAAAGCTGCAGTACAGTAATCCGAGGAGGGAGAAAGTGCACAGAGGAGAATGGGAGAAGACACCCAGTTATTTCAAATCTCCTGTACTTCCCCGGCCCCAATAACCATGACAACCGAGTGTCTGCTTCAGAAAAACACCTTCCACCCCCAGCATTGAAGCTTACTGCCACAGAGCAGCATAAGAACCAGCTGCAAAAGATCAGCTCCCGGGAGTACATGCACTCCACTCCCCTGCAGAGTGGACCGGCTAAGCCACCCGGTCTGAAATGGGGCAGGACGCTCCACAAGAAAGGACCGCAAACAGCCACCAGCTAGTCCTCGTCAGGATTCAGAGCGGTACCTGGTACCTTTCCGCTCCTGAAATGCGGCCACCTCTGGGGTGGAGGAGAGAAGCCAATCGTGACTCAGGGTGAATGGACATTGTGAGGCGGGCTAGCCCTTGCTATTGAATGGGTCGCACTTTATCTGCCCAATGGAGGGCTGAGCTGACTCCATGGAGCAGCATTTCAAACCCGATGCTTATGCCTCCGAGCTGGCTGTCAAACCCTTCCATTACTGCAGTAGGTCGGATCACAAAAACTGTGTGTGACAACACTGGGCAGCACTGATTGGCCGCAGGAGAGCCAAAGAGAACCACAGGGCCTGTCTGGGTCCCTTAGCTCCACTAAAAACAAAAACAACCCCCAAACAATCCTCCTTTATGCGAATTGTAACACAGACCTGGTTCTTCTCTACCATGCTGAGGACTCTCAGTCCCCGAGATAACCAGTGGCCAAGCTGGGCACAAAATCCTAGAGTCTTGAGTCCTAATTCTCTGCTTTAGCCACTAGGCCACACTCCCTCCCCAGAGCTAGGAACAGACCCAGTTCTTCTGCAGCTGAATGTTCAAGCACAGACTTACAGTTTTTCACTCCTACACACTGGAGTGTGTGGAATGAATTTAGTGATTTTGCTCTTATCTGGTAACGTTTGGGTTTATTTTAATTGATCCAGGAGTCTCTGCCCTTCCCGCACACACTGCCCTGCCCCCCACCCCGGCATTCACCCGTGTGGCCTTGAGGTTTGAAGAACACAAACTCTATGAAGATTGGAAGCCATTATGGGGTAGGGAACCTAGCTTTGTCACTAGACAAGGTATGGGCAGCTGGTTGTCATGGCATCCTTTCAGAAAGGGGAAGTGAACCGGTCACTTCCTGTTGCAAAGTTCTGAGTAATCTGCGTCCCGGCTATTTCTGACCAAGTCAGCTCTGCATCACGTATCTTGGTGACAGAAACCAGACGGTTCGCCCTCCCCCTCCCCAGGAGCTACACATTATTTGTATCGCAGAAACACCAAGCCTCCAGTGAGATCTGGCCCCTATGGTGCTAGGTGCTATACGGGCTCGTGGCAAGAGACAATCCAAGAGGTTGAGTTTAAAGAGGCAAGGCAGAAAAGGGAAACTGAGGTGCAGACAGGGGAAGTGACTTGCCCAAGGCTGCCCCTCAGGTCAGTGGCAGAGACAGGAACAGAAACCAGGTCTTTTCACTTGGAACTTAGTGCACTAACCTAAACTATACTGCCTCCTTTGTCTTACCGATCCAGCCAATGCTGGTCTCTGTCGTCACTAATCTCTCTCTAATTTAGATACCGAACTAGGCGGGGAACTTCTTTCATGTATCCATAAGTTGCCCCACACCCCTACAGTCCTCCATAGAAGAGAAGGGAGATTTTGCTTGTATAGAATACCTTTCGCTCAAGGATCTCAAAGCACTTAGGGTATGTCTACACTACATGGCTCCGTCGACAGAGCCCTGTAGTGTAGACATACCCTTAGAAACACTGATCAGAAAGCTGGGTGACAAATCAAGACTCTACGCAGAACAGAATCTCAAGCAGCCTTGGGCTAAGGCTCTGTGGGGTTGCAGGCTCCGCATGGGGGATCCCGCTTAATTGGTTAAATATAACGTTTAATGGATTAACTGATTAAATGGGACTAGTTAAAATGGGACTTTATCCAAATCCCTAACCTTTCCTTTTTCTAAGCTCTTCAAGTGTCAGCCTGTGCCTCCAATGGGTCCCAAGCAGGAGCTCTGGACAGCCCCATAGCCTGGATCAAAGTCCCAACTCCGGCAAGAACTTCCTGGACTGATCCCTCAGGATTGCGGAGGGGTGACCCAATTTGTCAACCTGTGTGAACACCTGGAGGGACCATCTGATCTGAGCCCTGGCCTAGTGCTGCCCAGAAATCCACACTCCGCTTCAGCGTAGTGCTGCCAAGGACGGGAGTTTGCATCACCCCTGCAGCGACCAGCCTTCCCCATTATCTCTCCGGGTTCTACAGTGCATGGCTAATCAGCTGGGTGGCATCCGAATCTTTCCTGGGGGGCCACCCAACTGCTCAGCTTCCCGGGAACACTGCTGCCAAGTGCATTTTGCACCAAAGGCAACTGGCTTAATACAGAGCAGGGATGGCATCAAAATGGGGACGGCCCTTCAAAAATCTCAACTTTCTGTAGGATAGTGCTTGGAAAGGGTCTCTGTCGCCTTGTAATTCCTTCCAGCCCTGCATCGTGTCTCCAACCTCCATCACACCGCACCATGGAGGAGGGATGTAGGTCTTAAAAATAGCAGAGCAGATCCTCAGGCCATGTAAACTGAGTGACACTGATTTATACCCGCTAATGATCTGGCTCACACCCCTCAGCAAATAGGCAGCCAACTCAGCCAGGTTGCCCGGGCAGCTAATGCAAGTGGCACCATCTCCAAGTCAGTGCTCCCTGTAAGCTGTTTGCTTTGGCAGCCACCCAGGAGAGATTCACATGCTGCCCAGCTGATTAGCAGAGTGCCCACAGCTGGCAGCGTGTGTTTCTCCTGGTGCTGCACGTCCACACATGCCTGTGTGCACATTACAAAATTTATTCTGCACATGGATGGGGAAAAAATAGAGTTGCTTGTTTTTAGTTCTGTTCTGCCAATATAGCTTACCACTGACAACTCTCGAGTGAAATTGACAAGATCAGAGAGCGGGCGCCTGCTTGCTTTCAATCCCACACAGCCCACTGGCAGGAACAGAAGGCTGGTGGGTGATTTGGCTATCCATTCATCTCTGTTGCTCAGGCTTCCTGAAAATTCAGGAGTTCGGGGTGAGGCGGGGGAGAGGGGAGCAAGAGAACTAGCTGATCATTTTCTAATCATCTCTGCAGCTGACAGTATGGGGCACCAAGCTCTCTCACTTCAGGGCACTGCCCTTCAGCTGCAGAGATCAGGAAGAATTCCTTCTCCGACTCCCATGCAAAATAAAGATCATAGCAAGAGTGTGCTGCCCTTTCCAAGGCATCGCAACAGACCACTGGGTACAACGTGTCCCAGACCAAAGGAAGTGTACGTGCTCTTGTATGCAGAGCAGCGATGTCTGACCCAACGGGCTTAATCACAAGAGGATTCCACATTTAAAGGTGATTATTAAGCCAGAACTGGGGGCGGAGAGAAGGAGGAAGAAGAGGCATCCAAGCCTGGCAGCCCATAAACCCCATTTTCACTGTGACACTGAAACACATAAGAAAATAAGAATAGCCATACTGGATCCTACCAAAGGTCTTTCTAGCCCAGTATCCTGTCTGCCAACAGTGGCCAATACCAGATGCCCCAGAGGGAACACAACAGGGAATCCTCACGTGATCCCTCCCCATCACCAGTTTCCAGACACACAGAGGCTAGGGACACCATTCCTATCCATCCTAGCTAATAGAATCATGGAGGTTAGGTCCATCAATGGCTATCTAGCTCTTTTTTGAACCCTGTTCAAGTCCTAGTCTTCACCACATCCTCTGGCAAGGAGTTCCACAGGTTGACTGTGAGCTGAGTGAAGAAAAGCTTCCTTTTGTTTGTTTTAAACCTGCTGCCTATTATTTTCATTTGGTGACCCCTAGTTCTTACATTGTGGGAATAAGTAAACAACTTTTCCTTACTCACTTTTTCCACATCAATCATATCCCCCCTTAGTCTCCTCTTTTCCAAGATGAAAAGTACAAGTCTTTTTCATCTCTCTTCATACGGGACCCATTCCAAACCCCTAATAATTTTTGTTGCCCTTTTCTGAACCTTTTCCAATGCCAATATATCTTTATTGAGACGAGGCGACCACATCTGTATGCACTATTTAAGATGTGGGTGTACCAGGGTTTTATAGAGAGGCAATAAGATATTCTCTATCTCCTTTTTAATGATTCCTAACATTCTATTTGCTTGACTGCCGCTGCACACTGAGTGGATGTTTTCAGAGAACTATCCACAACGACTCCAAGATCTCTCTCGAGTAGTTGTTGTTAAATTAGTTCCGATCATATGGTACGTATAGTTGGGATTATTTTTTCCAAGAACCCACCCACCGATGTATATACAGCTCCATTCTGTAATCCAAACCACACGGTCCCCTCCCTGGTTGCTAGATTCAGTTCTGCTTTATGTTTCTCAAGATACTTGGATTGGACAAGGCAAGCCGTGGGCTGTTGGTTTGACAAGCCCAGCCAGTAGCCCAGCCACCGTTGCTGGGAATTGGACATTTTCCTGACCCTCAGCTCTCCTCCGATAAACAGATGGCGTTTTCCTCCTGGCCACGTGAACCCCTCGGAGGAAG